CTTGATACAAGTTCCCATTCATATGAAATCGGTGGTACGACTCGGACTCGCCATGTTTTTACTGTTCACCTTAACCGTTTGATGTACGATCTCAGTCTTCTATCATTCACACGACAACTTTTTTGTCACACACTCGCACCTTTTGTGTGGTGAACACCAGACGGGGTGAACCCCATGGTCACGACGACGTGCTGTTCAGCGATGAAAATCGGCAATCTAATTCCCGCGGGACTCGGAGTCGCGTACCACATAAGACCCCACCAGGTTAGGCGTGGTATTGAACCGGACGACAGCAGAGCTGCCTACCACCAAATTGGTTAACAATGGCGGGGCTCGAACCTCGGACCATAAGGTCCAACGCAAACCGGTGATAGTGACTAAACCATTCCGCCGCCATCACCTATTTCATTTATCGCAGAAGAGTTATGGTTTTCGCTTAGTGAACATTCCACTGAGTCTTGTCCGCTTGGTTCGTTAAAACTATACCGGTCGGAATTCCCGCGTGACTGAATTGTGAATCCGAGCCAACGTAGTAATAATTTTTTTCGACTATTCTACTGAGGCGTACGTAAACTGTCTGTTTGTCTTCTCTGCAAGTGGATGAGTTTTCTTTATTTGGACAACTACATCTCACCCGGTGGACGCATCACGGATGAAGTGTCAGTTCACATACAGAAGGCTCGGTTGGCGTTTGTTAACTTGCGACATCTATGGCGCCGTCGTGACATCCGGCTGCCTGTGAAGGGTCGAGTGTATGCTGCGACTGTTCGGCCAGTTCTGCTATACGGTGTAGAAACTCGGCCATTAAGAAAATAGGATAAAAATAGACTGTCGGTGTTTGAACATCGTTCACTTCGCAGCATTGCACGAATCTGATGGGACAACCAAACAAGCAATGCGGAGATTAGACGCAGAGTTTTAGGCAACCGCAAACGCCCAGTGGAGCAAATGGTCGACCTACTGCTTCATGCTGATGGACAGGCAAAAGGCAGCAACCAAAACCGCCGCACGAAGTTGCATAGTAATGGTTGTACAAACTGAAACTGAAACTCTGCGCTTGCTGTGACGAGGAGCTTTCAGTTCACTCTAAACACGGCAAATCACTCTCAACGGGGCTGCCAACTGTATCTGATGCAAACAATAACCCATTGGAAGTTTGGGGTACAAGCGAAATCTTCGAAACGAAAATGGTTGTTTTCGAAACGAAAGCGCTCACGCGCTAAAGAAAGAGAATTTACACATCATGTCAAAAATCCTTTCCCGTTTTTCCGATCAATCCTCACCGCTGAGGAGATGCCCTAAACTAGTTGTCTGTTTATCACCGGATCAATCATTGTTGACTGTTGGACAAGAGAAGATACGTACTGAAACTGCACCTTTTTGTTCCTAAATGTGGGAAATGAATAGTCACAGAAACTCAATCTCTCGGAATGGACGTTGATCGATTCATTCAAATCATACCGTTGTACCACAGATATATTGCTATGATGACACGAGCGAATAGTGTTCTGCGTTGCAATCTCAACGATGAAACAGGAGCGGTTTTGTTCACGATATGTTGTCGCTCTCGATTGGTCGTCAGCTAACCCGAATATTGATGATGATGATGATGATGATGATGATGATGTTCTCAACTTTCGGAGCTTATTTTCAAACATAACTGTTTCTAGCCATCATCATCATCATCCTGTCTGTGTCTGTCTGTCTGTACTTCACTCACGGACTATACACATCGCCATCTCTCTCTCTGTCTGTCTGTCTGTTTTACAGCCCAAAATGGAAGA